TAGGCCATGACATAAGGGGTTATGCAGGGGGGGGTGGGGGGTGGGGGGTGCGGAGAGAAGGGAGGTTGAAGAGTGGGAGGGGTCTTCCATTTATGACAGCTGTTTCACCGAAAGCTAGGCCATGACATAAGGGGTTATGCAGACGTCGGTGATTTCACTTGATAGGGGGTAGGCTTTCGGAAGGGGGATCGGGGGTGGTTGCAATGACTTGCTGGTTCCAGGTTGCCTGTAGCATCTCTCAGACGAGGCTGTACCATAGGTAGGGACAGATTCGTAATTTTGTTTGGCTGAGGGCTAACCGAGAGACCTACCTGCAAGGAAAATTTGTGAGGGACATATTTGTAAATATAGGAATTATTTGCCCCGTACTAACTCGGATTTCCTACAGCTACCCTAACTGCGAATAGCAGACCCGGGCTACCCCTAGGACAGACAGGCCCTATGGGCCTACGCTGACAGACAGTCCTATAGCCTATAGCCGGGTAGGGAGAGGCCCTAGAGGCCGAAACAGAAACGGTACCGGTCGGTCAGTCAGTCCGGTCTAGGTCGGTCTAGGCNGTCCTATAGCCTATAGCCGGGTAGGGAGAGGCCCTAGAGGCCGAAACAGAAACGGTACCGGTCGGTCAGTCAGTCCGGTCTAGGTCGGTCTAGGCTAGTAGTAGAGTATAGATAGGATGGGGACATCGGTCCTGGGCTTTTGGCAGTTGACACTTCGTGGTGGAAGTTGCTGCACACACGGTATCAGGTCGAGGTGGCTGATTCCGGTGGTGGAGACGGCGGACATAGCCAGACCTTCGGAGCGCTGACCAGACTGGGGTCAACGCTGTCCGCTCTGACCCTCTGGAGTCAAAGCGGTCTGGGCTATCAAAGGTCTGATGCGTTGGAGCATGTGGTGCACTGCTGACCCTCCTCAGGAGTAGCCATAGCTGCATCTTCTCAGAGATACCGTCGTCTGGACTTCATCTTCATCAGGGACTGTTGGCGCTGAGCTTCTTCTTCATCATCTGGGTGGCGATTGGCTCTGGGAGCCTGTTTCACTTTGGCGCAGGCCACTGAGTTGGATTTCAGGGTGGCGCTGGGTGTTACGTGGGGTTTCGGTGCTATTTTTAGCTGTTCCGAGTGGTGGGGTTGAGGCGCTACCTCTCTGAGGATAGCACAACAGGGTTCTGAGGTTATTCAGTGGAAACGATACTCTGAGTTTAATAAACAGTGTTAATACTGTGTTTGAGTTGTCATCTCTTCATTGATTTATGGCTGTGATCACTCGGTTGTCTTCTATGAATGATTGTTGGGATTTATGTGGAGAGAATTCACTGAATGGTCTATTCTGTCACTTCGCTTCTCTGAGTCTTCCGCTGCGTTTTCTTTCCTGGGCGGTGTGACCCTCTACTACCTCTCCCCTTCCTGTGCATGTATGGGCATGTACGGGAGTTCCTGTGAGTGAGTGTTGACAAACTTTCAACAGACAATCATGTTCATAACAGTTGGTATTTGAGCAGATCGGACCCAGACAGTGGCGAGATGATGGACTGAGGCAGCCATCACTACCTGAGAGCTTATGACGTTGGATTTCATGGTGGAATCGCATCTTCAGTATTGCGCTCAGTAGTATGTTGGTGAGGAGTTGGTATGACACAGAGGTGGCGATTCAGTGCTTAGTGGCCTGGGAGGCACTGAGGGGCTATTTTTAGCCCAGGCGTTGACTATGCTGGTGGCGAGATACCTGGGGGTATGTCGAGTTTCAGATTCTGGGCCAGATACAGGGAATCTGATTAGTTGGGGTTAAGCGTCATATCAAGAACTACAGTAGCACCAAGTTTCAGGAGATTTGGAATGTGGGAGCACCAGGAACAGTGAATTGAAGAAACTGGCGAGATGGCAGCCATAGCCAGTTCAGGTTCTTCTTCCAGTGTTTTGCCCTGAAGTAAGTATGTTCCTTGCTCAAGTCCCTATAGCGAGTCTGATAGTTGTGATTAGACTGGGAAAATTGAAGTTGTATGTCTGTAGACAGTGAAACTTGAAAATCGCACTGCCTGACAACCATATCTATTTCTCCTACCTATCTACTTTGACTTCTACTGACTCTGTTTGACCTCCTCTCTGTCTCAAGTTGCATCTCTGACTGTGTTACAGTATTGCGATTCAGTATACACTGTGAATTGAGTAGTTTAGGGTATGTATGTCAGTGATAATGGAATTATGAGTATTGTGCTGCCATAGCCAGTGCTTGGGGCAGCTAGGGTTTGTCATATCTTAGATTCTGTCCGTCATAATTCCAGCCTGCCAGTCACCCTGAAATCGCAATTCAGTATTGAGTCAGTGTCTGAAAGCGCTATACTGGAATTGATGTTTTGAGTCATGTACAGTGATATTTGTACTTCGCCTCACCCATAGTGGGGCATACAGGGTCCTACAGTGCCAGTGTCAGTAGGAGTTTAAAAATGGCTTGATGAGTCATCCGCTGCATCTCGGTTGACTACTGGGTTCTATTAATTGCTACTGACTCTCTGCGCTATTCTAACCTTTCTACTTACAGTCCAAGGTTGCATCCTGTCTAACTATCTGACAACGGTTCTGGGATTATTGCACTCAGATGACGGTTCTGGGCTGTGAATGAAAAATCGCAAGCTGATTTTATTTGGACTTACCCTAAACTGACCTAGAACAACCCTCAGCGGCCTACAGAGTCTGAGCACTCTTCTGCCTAATTCACCACGTCTCTTCTCATTAGGTGGCCATGATTACATCAGTGATTGTGTGTCTAATCTTAATCTCTGCTGACCTCATTTCTGTGTGTCTGTATTTATTGACTGGTTGAGTGGTCCATTATGGCTGACGCTGAAACGAAGATTGAGGGAGGAGAAACTTCCACTAACTCTCCTCAGGTTCCTCTTTCTCCCCTGGAGATGGCTCTGCTTGAGGCCGAGCTTGCTCGGCCTCAAGGCAGAGGCCCATATCCAGCGATTGAAGAAGGAGATGGAGGAAGCTCAGGAGGCTAGTAGGAATGAAGAGAGAAGAAGACAACTACGCAAGGATGTGGATAAGGTTGTCCTCAGTGGTATTTTCAGTCAGTACAGTAAGGATACTGCAGAGCTGGTGCTGTTAACAGACACCATCAACAAATCCTACTTTTTCTAAGTGGGACCAGAGGATACTCGCGCTCGAGACCCAAGGTTCTGCCATCGACCGTAAGTTTGATAAATTGGCAGCAAGCCTTGAGTCCCTGACTGCGAGTGTGAACAACGTTTTGCAACGTCTACAACTACTTGTCCCTTCTCCCAAACCTCCTCAACCTTCCCCAGCGCCCTCCACACCATCTCACAGTCGTCCACCTTCACCTGCTGGTTCCCATGTGTCCACTACCCTGCCGCCTCAGGTACATCTGATCAGTGGGAGCCCAAGCTGACGCCACCTCCTATGTATTCTGGGGAAGACCCCAAGGTGGACGTTTCAGATTGGGTTACTGCTGTGCAAGCATACCTGGGCAGCTTTGTATGTCCAGAGGTGACAAAGGAAGGGACTATTCAGGGTCGCCTGGAGAGGACTGCACTGAAATGGTGCACATCCTTTGCAGCGAAACAGAATTTGCCCATGGACAAATGGGCACAACAGCTGAAAGTGGAGGGGTTGTTGCAGGCCCTGCGGGACCGGTTTGCAGACAGGGAGCAGGCCCGAAAAGCAGCAGATAAGATACTGCTGTTGGGCTCGCTCAGATTTGAGGGTTCCGTGTCCAAGCTCTACGGTCTGTTTGAGAGCTTGACTGCTACACCCGGTCTGGAGATGAGTGAGTTTGACCAGCTCACCCATTTCCTTTGCGCAACGCCTCCAGACTACTCCATTGCTTTGTATTCTCAGGGCCACAAGGACTGGAGGTCCATTGGCAAAGCGGCCCTGGACCTGGAGTCTCGGCTCAAGGTTCAGGAACCTTCTGAAGGAAGGAGGAGACCCTCTTCCAGGGGACAGCGCAGGAAGAAGGGTGCTCTATTAGCTGCTGATGCAGGTTCTGATTCTGATGCATCTCAGTGTGGCAGTCCTTCATCTGAGACTGCATCAGTATCAGCAGTTGAGCCAACCGTTCTTGCCCTGGCTGAGAACCTTGCTGCCATGTTCAAAGGAAAAGTGGGCACCAGCACCAGCGAGGGCTCAGCCATCCAGAAGGGGAAAGGGAAGGGACGTGCCTCTTCCCCTCAGGCCCAGAGAGCTAACCTACCACGAGACGTCCATTGGCAAGTCAACGTCATGGATCCTTCCACCCTTCCCCGGAGAGCGCTCAGGATCCAGGAAGGGCAATGGCAGAAGAGGAAGGAACGTGAGGTTTGTTTTCGCTGCGAGGGGGACCACTTCCTAAAAGACTATCCCCACATGCCTTGCAAACCTGGCTCTAGTTAAAAAACTAGACCAGCAGAGGGAAGTGGAGTTAGCAGCTCCCTCCACTTGTGCTAATCCAGATTCTGACGAGTCCGAATCTGCATCTACCATCACTGACTCTGTTGGGGTTGCTGAGTCACGATCCTTCACTTATGTGGACCCTGACCTGGATGAGACGTGGCAGGAAGATGACGGTCAGACTTTTGCTGATTTTTTCCTGTCTTTGCAGGAAAAGAAAAAGCATAAATCAAACCTCGTCTTGCTGCGACCTTCCATCTTGGGAGCCAGGATCAAAGGCCTACTAGACTGTGGGGCTACGAGGAACTTCATCTCTCCCAAGGCTGTCAGCAAGCTGCATCTGGATGGGAGATTGGTGAAGTTACAGCAGCCACTGGAAGTTCGTATTGGGGACTCCTCCACAGTCCGGATTACCTCGGCTGTCAAAAACCTACCGGCGCCTGAACTTCTATGTTTTCCCCAATGTGCCTTTTGATCTTGTGTTCTCCATGCAGTGGCTAGAGGCCACTAACCGTAGGATCGACTGGCAGATCCCCAAGGTAGAGCTCCCTGACTGTAGAGGGGACTATCAGCCTTGTGTGCTGGCTGATGGGTACCATCCAGTCAGCAGTTGCTATTGTATGAGGGCACACGAGTTCTTTCAGCTCTCTCACCAGACTGCCCACACACGTCTGTTTGTTGCATATGTGAAACAGACTGATGTGGACGCTACTCCTTGTCCCCCACCGATTCAACAGGTTTTGGACCAGTTTCCCACCTGATGCAGGAGCCTACTGGACTTGTCCATAGGCAGACCCAACACAGGATTGAGCTCCTGCCAGGTGCGGTCCCTCCCAAGGGTCGTATCTTCAGGATGTCACCTGTTGAACTCGAGGAGCTCAGGAGACAGCTTGAGACCCTGACCAGCAAGGGCTGGATCAAACCCAGCACATCTGAATTTGGGGCTCCAGTTCTCTTTGTTCCAAAGGGAAATGGAGAATTCAGGATGTGCATCGATTACAAGGGTCTCAATAAGATCACTAGGAAGTCTACTGAGCCCCTTCCTAGGATTGACGATCTGCTGGACATGGTGCAGGGCTGCACAATTTTCAGCAAGATCGATCTCAAATCTGGCTACCACCAGATTGAGATGGCTGAAGGCGATGTCCACAAGACTGCCTTCAAGACCAGATACGACACTTATGAGTACCTGGTCATGCCTTTCGGTCTTTGCAATGCCCCTGACACATTCCAGACAGAGATGCATTGCATACTCAGGCCTTACCTGGACAGGTTCGTAGTTTTATACCTGGATGATATCCTGGTATTCAGTCGATCTGTCGAGGAGCATGCACAACATCTGGCTCTGGTTATCCAGGCACTACATGAGGCCCAGTATAAGATCAACAGGGATAAGTCCTCCTTTGGAGTGACTTCTGTGACTTATCTGGGACATGTAATCTCTGGGGAAGGGCTGGCTCCTGAAGCAACTAAGGTTGTGGCGATTCAGGACTGGCCGCAGCCTACCACAGTGCGTGATGTCTGGTCATTCTTTGGCCTTGCATCATACTACAAAAAAAGTTCGTTAAGAACTTTTCTGCCATTGCTGCACCTCCGACTGACCTTACAAAGAAAGACACCCACTTTCTTTGGACATCAGACTGTCAGCAGGCTTTTACACGCCTCAAGGAGGCCTTGATGCGTGCACCTGTTCTGAAGTTACTTGACCCTACCCTGCTCTTCGTACTAACTACTGATGCTAGCCAGTATGGGGTTGGTCCAGTACTTCAGCAGGATGGTGGGAATGGTCTGCAACTGATTGAGTACATGAGTAAGAAGATCAAAGCAAAGAAGCTGCAGGATTCCACGTACGAGAAAGAGCTATATGGTCTAGTGTCAGCGCTAAAGCATTGGAAACATTTCCTCATGGGCAGGCATTTCCAGATCTATTCAGATCACTCCACCTTACAGTGGATGAAGACCCAAGGGGAACTGAATGACAAGCTTGCGCTCTATATTCAGATTATTGATTTGTTTGACTCTGAACTAAAACACAAGAAGGGTTGCTACAATCGTGTAGCAGACGCCCTTTCTCGTAGGCCTGGCGCTCTCTGCCTGATCTCCTCTAGTCATACTTTTGGGGAGAACACCCGTCAGACCATCACCCAATTATTGCCACAAGACCCGATTTTTGGCCAGATTGTCAGGAATTTGCAGACTGATCCTGCCTCTGAACCAGAATACATTCTGGTTTCAAATCTGCTGTACACTTGCAGCAAAGGAGAGAAACGTTTGTGCATCCCTCATGACCGCCAGCTGATAACACTTATCATGTCTGAGTGTCATGATGCTCGCGGCCACTTTGGGGCCTGAAAATCGTTGGCAGCCCTGTCCCAGTGGTTCTTCTGGCCAGAGATGAGGAAAGACATGTTGCACTATGTTGAGACCTGTGAGTTGTGCCAAAGGAACAAGGTCGTTCGCCGACCTTCCCTTGGCCTGCTGCAGCCACTTCCCATCCCTGATGCACCAACACAGTCAGTGGCCATTGATTTCACTGACCTGGGGAGGACTACTCCTTGCGGTATGCGTCAGGTCATGGTGTGTGTGGACAGGTTCTCCAAGTACGCATAGTTTATTCCTTTGCCAGAGGAAGCCAGAGTCCCGACCGTGCAGGCGGCCTTTGCTGACAGGTGGGTTACTCACCATGGACCACCCATCTCCATTGTCAGCGATAGAGATCCGCGTTTCTACAGCAATGAGTGACAGTCCTATTGCAAGGACTACCTTCATTCCAGACTGGATATGACATTTGGTCGTCATCTTCAAGCCAATGGGCAGGCTGAAGTGATGAACCAGATTCTTTTCCAGTTGCTGCGTCCTGTGATCAGCCCTGATCAACTGGATTGGGATCTCCATCTAGGACGGGCACAGCTAGTGTACAACACCTTTGTACACTCCTCCACAGGGTTCACCCCTTATCGATTGCAATGGCGGCGTTCACCAGACAGTACGAGAGGGATATTGAATGAGCCAGGGTTAACCTGCTCAAAGCCCAAAAGGCTATGATTCAGCAGGCTAACAAGCATTGTCGACCATCCCCCATTCGCGCTGGTGACTGGGTCTGGGTACTCAGTTCTGAGCTATCGCGGGAGGAGGACATTTCGCCCAAGGTGTTGCCGCGTTATATGGGTCCATGGCAGGTTTTAGACACAGTGGGAGCTGACCCTTTCGGGCCATCTTATCACGTGGATGTCCCACTGCATCTACAAACCTACCCTGTCTTTCATGCATCTAAGTTGTTGCCGTTTGTTCCAGCTGATGCATTTCCAGACAGGTCTCCTCAATTTTGTCCCCCGATCCCTGGGAAGGGATATGAGGTGGAAAAAAATGAGGATGAGTATGGTACAGGCCCGGATAAGGAATACCTTGTGAAGTTTCTCTACCAGCCCCATACTGAGGATCGTTGGCTTACTCGCAAGGTACTTCTGAAAACAGCAAAGTCTGTTATCCTCAAAATATGAGGCTGCGCAGAGGGGAGAACCCCTTCGACGCTCTGCACGCCTACGCCCCTAGCTCGGAGGTCCTCGCTCCGGGGGAGGGTAGATCTGCAATGACTTGCTGGTTCCAGGTTGCCTGTAGCCTCTCTCAAACGAGGTTGTACCGTAGGAAGGGACAAATTCGTAATTTTGTTTGGCTGAGGGCTAACCAAGAGACCTACCTGTAAGGAAAATTTGTGAGAGACATATTTGTAAATATAGGAAATATGGGCCCGGTACTAACTCAGATTTCCTACAGCTACCCTAACTGCGAATAGCAGACCCGGGCTACCCCTAGGACAGACAGGCCCTATGGGCCTACGCTGATAGACGGTCCTATAGCCTATAGCCGGGTAGGGAGAGGCCCTAGAGGCCGAAACAGAAACGGTACCGGTCGGTCAGTCAGTCCGGTCTAGGTCGGTCTAGGCTAGTAGTAGAGTATAGATAGGATGGGGACATCGGTCTTGGGCTTTTGGCAGTTGACACTTCGTGGTGGAAGTTGCTGCGCACACGGTATCAAGTCGCGGTGGCTGATGCCGGTGGTGGAGACGGCACGCTGTCCGCTCTGACCCTCTGGGAGTCAAAGCGGTCTGGGCCATCAGAGGTCTGATGCGTTGGAGCACGTGGTGCACTGCTGACCCTCCTCAGGAGTAGGGTCCCAGTGGCGATGCAGCCATAGCTGCATCTTCTCAGAGATATCATCGTCTGGACTTCATTTTCATCAGGGACTGTTGGCGCTGAGCTTCTTCTTCATCATCTGGGTGGCGATTGGCTCTGGGAGCCTGTTTCACTTTGACGCAGGCCACTGAGTTGGATGTCAGGGTGGCGCTGGGTGTTACCTGGGGTTTCGGTGCTATTTTTAGCTGTTCCGGGTGGTGGGGTTGAGGCGCTACCCCTCTGAGGGTAGCGCAACAGGGTTCTGAGGTTATTCAGTGGAAACGATACTTTGAGTTTAATAAACAGTGTTAATACTGTGTTTGAATTGTCATCTCTTCATTGCTTTCTGGCTGTGATCACTCGGTTGTCTTCTATGAATAATTGCTGGGATTTATGTGGAGAGAATTCACTGAATGGTCTATTCTGTCACTTCGCTTCTCTGAGTCCTCCGCTGTGTTTTCTTTCCTGGGTGGTGTGACCCTCCACTACCTCTCCCCTTCCTTCTGTGCATGTATGGGTGTGTACGGGAGTTCCTGTGAGTGAGTGTTGACAAACTTTCAACAGACAATCATGTTCATAACATGGTAGTGGGGCCAGGGGACAGGAGTTGAGGAGGGGGAGGGGGGGGGGAGAAGGGAGGTTGAAGACGGGAAGGGGTCTTCCATTTGTGACAGCTTTTTCACCGAAAGGTAGGCCATGACATAAGGGGTTATGCAGACGTAGGTGATTTCACTCGATAGGGGTTAGGCTTTTGGAAGGGGGATCAGCGGTGGTAGTGGGGGCAGGGGACAGGAGTTGAGGGGCCGCCTGAACCAGGGCCAAACGTGGGAGGGGTCCTCCATTAATGACAACAGTTTCACATGAGGGTGTGCCATGATGTAAGGGGTTCTGCAAACGCCAGTGATTTCAGGGGACAGGGGGTAGGCCCTGGAAATGGGGGTTGGGGCCGTCCAAGGGGACAGGGGACAGGAGTTGACGGGCCGCCTATACCAGGAGCAAACGTGGAGGGGTGGTCCATCCGTCAAAGCTGTTTGGCATGACGTAAAGGGCTCTGCAGACATCACCCAATTTCACATCACAGGGGGTGGGCTTTGGGAAAGGAGGTTTGGGGGGGCCTGGGGGGCAGGGGAGGGGTGTTCAGTGGCCCGATCTAAACCAAGGCCGAGCGTTGGAGAGGTGGGGGGAAGGTTGTACACTGCTGATATGCCGTGAAGGTGCCGTACAAATATTAGGCACCGTGGTATTCTCTTCTGAGCTTATATTCACACTCGGAGGATACTCCCACTGGGACTTTCCTAGATGCATCTGACCTGAATTACGGCCCATGCAGGATGTTTCTGACTGCCATTTCGTCCAGAACTCTGCTGAAAAAGCGCATGTGTGAGTTTGCCCACATAATTTTCTGGGAGTAAGGTGTGGTACAAATGTTAGGCTGTGATACTTTTCTAAACGTATATTCGCACTCAGACTTTCCTGGAGGTAAGCGCAATGGAGGGCAGATTCAGTCAGCTCAATGGAGGTCATCATTGGTCCAGATTCAGTCAGTGCAACCAAGGCCAGAGTCAATCAGCCGAATGGAAGGCAGAATTGCTTCGGTTTCAGTCAGCGCAAAGAAATCCGGATGCAAATGCAGTCCAGGAAGGACAAGGGCTTTTTTTTTCTTATGGAGTTTGGCGAGGCAAGTATTTATAGGAACAACAAGAGAGAGAGAGAGAGAGAGAGAGAGAGAGAGAGAGAGAGAGAGAGAGAGAGAGAGAGAGAGAGAGAGAGAGAGAGAGAGGATCCCTGGAGGCCGAGGGCCCTGAAGCCGTAAATCATGGAACTCTCTGTAAGATCACCTCGCAAACAATCCGAGATAAACGGATTCTCAAAGTAATCCGCGGAGAGAGCAGATTGCAGATGAGGATGGCCAATCGACATTGTGGGGGGAAGGGTGGGGAAGGGGTGTTGAGGGGGTGTAGGGGGATTTATGAGGAATTTTATGTAGCTTTGGTTTTGGCCCTTTTGGGAATTTGGGAAGAAGATTCCATTTCCAATTATGATGCCTAGAATTCCAAAACTGCCATTTGTCCGACAACTACTACTCTCACTATGTACCTGGATGTGTCGGTGACTAGGTGCACGATCTTCACCAGGATGTGCAAGTGTCCAGATACGATATGACAGTGAGCTATGCAGGAGCATGTGAGCTCGTGCTTGTAAACATTTTACATAGCCTGTGAGATGTAATACCTCAAGAGAAGTACCTCAAGTGACTTGACTGATGATACTGCTACTTTTTTTACTTCTCCCTCCACTCTGTTCTCCTTGTCTCCCTCCACTCCCTGTTCTCTTCCCCTCTTCCTTAGTCCATTTCCCACCATCTCACACACACAAATGAGTTTTGTGCTGGCCATAATGTTTGTAATCAATTGTTCGTGAAAGAAAACACCAGCGCCTTCTAAGTGGCTGCCTCTGTCATACCGCGCCTCCTCCTCTTCTTCTTCTTCTTCTTCCTACTCCTATTTGGGAGTTCCCGTGTTCGATTCTTGGGATCGGCTCGTGCACGTAGGATTCGATTCTTAGTTTCGTAGCAACCATCAGTGAGGTCGTACATTGCTTGGTGGCTGCGTCGACGCCCTGTGTGGTCGGGTGTGAGTGTGAGGTTGTGACTTGGTACACCGGGACGTGGAGAAATCCGTGCTGGGGTGAGGTTAAGTACTCATCTTGGGGCTTAACTTTCAACCCAGTCTGCTTAGCCGTTTGGTTGAGCGTCCTACTCCTATTTGGGAGGTCGCGTGTTCGATTCTTGGGATCGGCTCGTGCACGTAGGATTCAATTCCTACCTGCGTAGCAACCATCAGTGAGGTCGTATATTGCTTGGTGGCTGCATTGACGCCCCGTGTGGTCGGGTGTGAGTGTGAGGTTGTGACTGGGTACACGAGGACGTGGAGAAATCCACGTTGGGGTGGGGTTAAGTACTCATCTTGGGGCTTAACTTTCACCCCCAGTCAACTTAGCCGTTTGGTTGAGCGTCCTACTCCTATTTGGGAGGGCGCATGTTCGATTCTTGGGATGGGCTCGTGCATGCGGGATTCGATTCTTACCTGCGTAGCAACCATCAGTGAGGTCGTACATTGCTTGGTGGCTGCGTCGACGCCCTGTGTGGTCGGGTGTGAGTGTGAGGTTGTGATTGGGTACACCGGGAAGCGGAGAAATCCGTGTTGGGGTGGGGTTAAGTACTCATCTTGGGGGTGTAACTTTCACCCCAGTCAGCTTAGCCGCTTGGTTGAGCGTCCTACTCCTATTTGGGAGGCCGTGTGTTCGATTCTTGGGATCGGCTCGTGCACGTAGGATTTGATTCTTACCTGCGTAGCAACCATCAGTGAGGTCGTACCTGCGTCGACGCTCTGTGTGGTCGGGTGTGAGTGTGAGGTTGTGATTGGGTACACTGGGAAGCGGAGACATTCGTGCTGGGGTGGGGTTAAGTACTCATCTTGGGGGTTTAACTTTCACCCCAGTCAGCTTAGCCGCTTGGTTGAGCGTCCTACTCCTATTTGGGAGGCCGCGTGTTCGATTCTTGGGATCAGCTCGTGCACGTAGGATTCAATTCTTCTTGTTCTTCTTCTTCTCATCCTTGGCACGATTTGCCAGGGTGGTGTGTGATAACTGGGGATCTTTGATCTTGCAGGTTTACCCTCGCCAGAAGAGTTCTTACTTCCAAAAACAGTAGTTGGAAACGTACGGGTATTGTACAATGGACCAGGTTCGGATGGTCGGGTCTGCAATCTCGGTTTTTCTACATCTGCATCTACTTCTTATGCCCGTTCGGATTTTTTCCTGATTTCGGCAGAAATAATTTCTGTTTTTTTCCTTTTTTAGGCACAATGGAATGCGCACGCGCGTACACACTTGGTTAGGCCTCCTTTGGGCGCCAACGGGCGCAGGCCCGAAAACGGTTGGAAAACTGATGCCTSGTTTTTGGGTACCACGGAYGCTGACCTGAAYTGTTGGAATTTTGGTGACTGTACCTGGCCGATGTACTTTACTGCAGACACGGTTCAGATTYGCSCAACGTTCACTTGGTAAGTGMTCAGGACTTCTTTCAAGCCGTTCCGKTTTTTTKAGCTCCTCTGAGCYGTASTCCTCTGCTGGATGTGGGCTTAGTGWCGAGTTTGACAGTATMGCTCCRTGCTACTAKCGYGGRTATATGTTGAACGCGCGATAGTCCTCTCCCTYTGTTTTTGTGTTGCGAATTTGTATTYACKTAGGATTGGYGAYGATGGGCTGTGTACTTGTGCCTGCTCCGTTCGAAGGTTTGAGTGGGTGGATGGGGAGCAGGGACGCCCTCGTAGTGACTGCAGACCAAGTGGACAGACGACACAATGCATTAGAGAGGAGGGGAGTGAAGAGAAGGAATGGGAGGGAAAGAGGGAAACAAGGGAAGGAGATTTGAATCGCATGCTGTGCTGAAAGGATGAAAGAGGAGTTGTGCTCCTACATGTTAGGGTGGTGGGTGGCCTCCTGAAGAGACTCGAACACGCACCGAGTCGAAACGTGTCGAAAGTTATGAGTGTTTTTTGTATGGTGTTTGGTAAAGACTTGATTTGCATCTTTGCCCTCTGTGGACCCTTAACTTCTAGGTAGACGTGACAGCCAACGTTGCTTTTTAGCCGTGAGTGTGGTCGCGAGGGTTATCTGATATCCGTGGATATCGAGGAACCCGGTATTTAGGAAAGGTGGCATAAGTGGAAGGAAAGAGAGTAGAGTAGAGAATCGGTGAGTGGTGGTAGAGGAAGCGAGATATGGTGCCGCATCTGGTGGGGAAGATACATATTTTTCGGGATATGAGGGGACTGAGGAGGATGTGTCGTGTTCTGTGTCAGATGGTCGACAATGTGCTGCTGCGGCTGACCGCTCCTCGTAGACACTCTGCTGCCGGAAGGAGGAGTATTCATGAGTATGTAAAGAGTAGTCGCCGGGTGCTTGAGACCTTGGTACTGTGTCGTCATCAAATGGATCGTTCAGAGGGCAAGATTTGGCTCTAGATTGTATAAAGAGAGGGTGGTTCTCTCACTCTCCAGACTACTATTCTTGCAAGCGAGTGTACGGGCTGATTACTCGGCGACACGCTCTCTTTGTATCTAGAGTGGAAAAAATGCAAGGCGGGTTAGCGGGGATGGCAACGGGGATGGCAGTGCAAGGCGTGGCTGGAAGTGGTGGTCATATGGGCGTGCAAGGCGCTGTAGGTGCCAACATGTTCTGAGGAGGGTTCGGTGGTCAGAGCGCTATGCCACCAAACAACTTGCCAGCATCCTCGTACGGGGTTGTGACGTGTCACATCTGTGGAAAGGTTGGTCATTATGCCAAGAACTGCTGGCAAGCAGCGAACAGGCAGAAGCCGAAGGAGGAGAATACGGAGGTGAGAGAATTGCTCTTACGGATTTCTAAAAGAGAAAAGGAGGAGGATAGAAAGAAGAAAGAAGTGGAAGAGGCGAGGAAGAAAGAGGAGGATGAGCGGCGTGAGAGTGAGAAGCTACGAGAGGAACAGGCAAGAGAGGCAAAGCTGGAAGCGACTATTGTTCGCATCCTCCAGCAGCGAAAGGAATCGGGGGTGATTTCGCCTATCCCTCTGATTGCACCAGCTTCTCACGTAGCTTATGAGCCTAAGAAGCAATCACCAAGTTCTAAGGCTCGTATGCTGCGTGATATTCGTAGTTATATTGCCGAATCAGAGGATGAAAGTGAGGAGGTGAAAGAAGAAGCGGAGAAGTTAGCCGAGGCGCTAGAAAGAAGGAAGAATTCTAGGAAGGGTGCTAGTACTGTGTGGGCAGCGGTAAGTCGAGCGGCAAGAAGGTTACACCTCGGAAGGAGAAAGCTCGGGTTCATGAGAATCCGGCGAAGGATGACGGCTTCGAGACTCCGACGAAGATGTGTGCTGCAGAGTGCTCTGGTGATGGTACGATGGAGTTTGCGTTGACACAAACCAAGGTACTGAAAGTTAATGAGATACGAAAGATATGTGATCGAGAAGCCGTCGACTACGTCAAAAGGAGATAGCCATCCATAAGATTGTGAGGTGCCGTACAAGACTGACATACGAGGAATTTTTTACACTTAAGAGTGCGACACCATCGTCTCAAAAGGTGCACAGCAGTGGCCTTGGGGGTTGTGATGGCGGATGGGATTTACAGCACATGCTGCTGCTATCAAGTTTCAAGAACTGGTTACGAGGAGGAGCCATAGGGAGGCTAATGGGTTACGGCCATACTTGCAAGCAGACAGACCGGACGAGCGTCCGGTCCGGTCTGCTTTGCCGCGTGCGGCACCCTCCCCCCGGACCAGACGGACCCAGACCGGATCGGACAGGGCCTTTTTTTTTTTTTTTGGGGGGGGGGGGGGGGGGGGCGTAACCGGTCGATTCCATTTCTTAGCACATGACGTTCTCCACCTTGGCAAAGGCTCGAAGAGCAGACGCTTCGCGTCTGAATCCCACGGGCTCGTCAACAGAGTTGCTCCGTCCAAGAAATCACAGGAAACACTTCTTTCGCAAACTCGTTTTGTAATACAATCTCACAAAGGTTCCGCTGTACACCGACTCATCAGTGCTTTGGTTCCGTTGATTTCAGGTTGGGGAAACTACTTTTGGGCGCACATGCGGGTCCGGTCCGGCAGTCTGCCGCACGTGCGGAACCGCTCGGACGGCGTCCGCTTGCAAGTACGGTTACGACCATTAATGGTTAGGGAGGAAGAGAACGAACTAACACTTCTACTCATGTTGCTTACCGTGAAAGGACATGTGCCTTGGATTAGGAATCTGATGAGATTTGTTGACCCGTTAGATACTGACGTCAATGATGCTGGTGTATACGCGGTTGTTAGTCCATGCTTTACATCGGATGTACCGTTAGAAAGATTATTACGATATGGGTTGAATACGTTCGGTGCTCTTTGAATGGGAACACATGAAACGCACCAAGGCTCCACACATGAAACACACCAAGGCTCCACACTTGGCTTAAATCTTTTAGGTGGCAGTGTTTGGTCACGGGTGTGGAAGATGGGCTCGGTGTGGAGAGCACTCTCATCTCAAGGTTCTCGCCCTCTCTTAACACGATTGGTCGCAGCAAGTAAGGAGGAAGAAGTGTCGGAGTGGTGCAAGGCAAAGAGCAAGATCTGGGCAGAGACAGACTGGAGGTGTGATCACCTTCTGCATCCAAGGGAGGAAATGCGCTTGCTGACTTCACTACTTGTACAACTCGAAGGGACGAAGCATCCGATCGATGTGGAAGTCGAGGCAGGCGGATACTGGATTGACTCGTGGAAGGCAATCTGTGGGAAATATGGTGAGTCGTTGGTCATCATAGACCATTTGAAGACTAAGCTGAGATATGCCAAGTCTACCATTCAGAAAGGGGGGTGTCTTCGTAGTCTACCATCCAAAGGAACAAGCGGTTTCTCCGTGATTTGCTGGCTCAGCCTTGGCGTATCAGGCTCTTACACCGACTTTCTAGTAGGAAGATGGTAGCGTTATTTAGAACAGCCGACCTGTTTTCGAATAGTACGACTAAAAGTGAACTTCGTCAGAGGCTTGCTCACACTATGAAGGACAAGTTTGGGGTCGACATTAGGAAGAGGATTTTGGTTCGGGTTTCGTTCTCAGCACGACTCAACATGGGTGCAATTATGGACATGATGACGAGGATCATCTCGTTATCTGTTAAAGATGATGCGATTCTGTCGCTTTTGATTGAGAGAATGAGACTGGTTAGGCTGAAAGGTAGATCGGTGGGAAGCATTGTGCATAATTATAGAACGATGCTGGATACGGGAAGGGATACTTGCATGTGTGCGGATTTCAGGCTGGAGAGGTACCAGTGGCATGTCCAGATGAGACTGGATCGTGTGACAGGTGTGCATCGATTTGTCCACAATGCGAAGAACGTGACCAGCGGCAGATCCGTGACGAGGAACCAGCTTCTGGAACTTGTCATACAGGCAGTTCCGAAAGTGTGGAGGCACAATGCTCTCCAGCTTACGGACCAAGATGTAATGCGGTGTTTTACGACCAAGGATCTGTGTCACACACACATGACTGAACAGGAAGTAAGAATGGAGGTACATTAATTTCAGAAGTTGGTGCTTGTGCCGCTTGACAGGAATCAAGGCGCAACTTTCCTTATCTGCCATGTTCTGTATTTCCATGCGTTCCGCATGACCTTCTGCTGGAACCCTGGTTTTGCTCCAGTGAAGGAGGAGGATCGCACTCTCGCAATATCGAAGTCTGCATACAGAGCTGCCGGACTGGAATCTCTGGGCATGTGGCGCACTTGCGGAAGAATTGGGAGGGCATATGTTATTCCCAAGGATAAGGACTACGCGAGATGGCGACCGATTTCACCGTCATGGTCGGAACCATCACGAACGGTGAGCGCCAAACTGGGGAGGGCACTTCGATACATGCTTCTGTGCCTTCCTGCATCTTACCATTTCAGTCTCAGATCCACTGATCAACTGAAGCCGGCGATGCTGAAGGTCGTCACAAAGATATGTTCGCCAAGCTTCCCCATGACGACATCGTCGCGTCTGCTCACCCTGTGACAGCCTCTATGCTCCGGCTATGGAGATCTCTCTACTCACCCTGTGACCCCCCCAGGCCTCCATCATAAGCCTTTTGAGAGAAGCACGCCTCCGGGACTACCCCCCGGAGGTCTTCTTCGCATCCTTGGCACGATTTGCCAGGGTGGTGGGCGGCAACTGGGGATCTTTGATCTCGCAGGTTTACCCTCACCAGAAGAGTTCTTACTTCCAAAAACAGTAGTTGGAAACGTACGGGTATTGTACAATGGACCAGGTTCGGATGGTCGGGTCTGCAATCTCGGTTTTTCTACATCTGCATCTACTACTTCTTATGCCCGTTCGGATTTTTTCCTGATTTCGGCAGAAACAATTTCTGTTTTTTTCCTTTTTTAGGCACAATGGAATGCGCACGCGCGTACACACTTGGTTAGGCCTCCTTTGGGCGCCAACGGGCGCAGGCCCGAAAACGGTTGGAAAACTGATGCCTGGTTTTTGGGTACCACGGATGCTGACCTGAACTGTTGGAATTTTGGTGACTGTACCTGGCCGATGTACTTTACTGCAGACACGGTTCAGATTCGCCCAACGTTCACTTGGTAAGTGMTCAGGACTTCTTTCAAGCCGTTCCGKTTTTTTKAGCTCCTCTGAGCYGTASTCCTCTGCTGGATGTGGGCTTAGTGWCGAGTTTGACAGTATMGCTCCRTGCTACTAKCGYGGRTATATGTTGAACGCGCGATAGTCCTCTCCCTYTGTTTTTGTGTTGCGAATTTGTATTYACKTAGGATTGGYGAYGATGGGCTGTGTACTTGTGCCTGCTCCGTTCGAAGGTTTGAGTGGGTGGATGGGGAGCAGGGACGCCCTCGTAGTGACTGCAGACCAAGTGGACAGACAACACGACGCATTAGAGAGGAGTGGAGTAAGAGAAGGAAGGGGAGGGAAAGAGAGAAACAAGGGAAGGAGATTTGAATCACATACTGTGATGAAAGGATGAAAGAGGAGCTGTGCTCCTACATGTGTTAGGGTGGTGGGTGGCCTCCTGAAGAGACTCGGACACGCACCGAGTCGAAACCCGTCGAGGGTTATGCGTGATTTTTGTACGGTGTTTGGTAAAGACTTGGTTTGCATCTTGCCCTCCGTGGACTGTGTTTGTTATGACCTTAACTTCTTCTTCTTCTTCTTCTTCTTCTTCCTTCTTCCTTCTCCTTCTTCCTTCTCCTTCTTCCTTCTTCTTCTTCTTCCTTCTTCTTCTTCCTTCTTCTTCTTCCTTCTCCTTCTTCCTTCTCCTTCCTCCTTCTCCTTCTTCCTCCTTCTTCTTTCTTCTTCTTCTTTCTTCTTCTTCCTTCTTCTTCTTCCTTCTCCTTCTCCTTCTCCTTCTTCCTTCTCCTTCTTCCTTCTTCTTCTTCTTCCTTCTTCTTCTTCCTTCTTCTTCCTTCTTCTTCTTCCTTCTCCTTCCTCCTTCTTCTTCCTCCTTCTTCTTCTTTCTCCTTCATCTTCCTCCTTTTTCTTCTTCTTCTTTCTTTTTTTTCCTTCTTCTTCTTCCTCCTTCTTCTTCTTCTTTCTTCTTCTTCCTTTTGCTTCTTCCTTCTTCCTTCTTCTTCTTCCTTCTCGTTCTTCATTCTCCTTCTTCCTCCTCCTTCTTCCTTCTCCTTCTTCCTTCTTCTTCTTCTTCCTCCTCCTTCTTCCTCCTCCTTCTTCCTCTTCTTCTTCCTCCTCCTCCTCCTTCTTCTTCTTCTTCCTCTTCTTCTTCCCTCTTCTTCTTCTTCTTCTTCTTCTTCTTCTTCTTCTTCTTCTTCTTCTTCTTCTTCTTCTTCGTCTTCTTCTTCTCCTCCTCCTCCTTCTCCTTCTCCTTCTACTTCTCCTTCTCCTCCTCCTCCTTCTCCTTCTTCTCCTTCCCCTTCCCCTTCTTCTTCTTCTTCTCCTTCTTCTCCTCCTTCTCCTCCTCCTTCTCCTCCTTCTTCTCCTCCTTCTTCTTCTCCTCCTCCTTCTTCTTCTCCCTCCTTCTTCTCCTCCTTCTTCTTCTTCTCCTCCTTCTTCCTGTTGCTGTATCTCACATATGAGCACACAATCTGCACCGTACGGCAAGTCACACACATGTGCAGCAACACTGATCTGCTATTGATCGACATTAACCCTAAACCAAGTAATTGCCATTAATTGCTATATGATTACCATGTGGTGCAGCGGATGGCAGGTCACACACGTGCACATCTGTGACACATATTAGCTAGCACCTTGAAGTTTGAAGATTGAAAAGCCCCATTTTGGGGAACTTTGTGTAGATGAATGAATGGCTTTATGGTTTTTGGGCAATGGTAAGTTCCTAACATGGATATATGGCCAGTTTTGGGGCCAGGTGCGTGCTCTCTAAGGATAGTAATCGTAGGAAAAGTGGGGCCAGCCCCTAAGAGGAAGTGATGAGTGAGTTTCCTAATGGTGAATTATTGATTGGGTTCACTTTGCAAGTGACTCTGAGAGTCGTCATGATTTGTTTTGTTTGCTGTGTGTTCTTGATTCGTTTCTTCTCTTCCATGTCTGGCCGCGTCGTTGGAGGGGGATGGGACGTGGAATGGGGAAGAGAGGAAGAGGTGCAGGGATGGGCTGTGGGGCTTGTTGGTGCGTCTGCATCAAGGAAGAGGTACTCTCTCTCTCTCTCTCTCTCTCTCTCTCTCTCTCTCTCTCTCTCTCTCTCTCTCTC